ACATTAAACTAAAGTTCATTTTCTATATAAGGAAATAGGACCTAGGGAACAGGGTCCGGAAATTGTACTCGAGACATTAGCAGCTTCTAAAAACCCGGTCGACACACAAACACGGAGGTCCTCGATGAAAATAAAAATTGTCTGTAATTCATCTAGAACTATTTCTTGATTTTATTTGTAATTTTCCTTAAAGATGGTTGGATAATTACGTCCAATATCTTTCCAAACGTATGTATGTAACACATAAGATAATCATAAATAGATGTGAATAACAAAAATGTATTCATTTTACTAGTGATTCTAATAAAGTGGGATTGGTAAATACTGAAAAAGTATTTAAAATGTTTTTTTTTCTATTTAACTAAATTGTTGAGCCCAGTGCGTTACTATAAGTGACATGAAAAACTACAATTTCATGTACCATTACGTCCAATCAAACACTGAAATTACTGTTTTTATTGTGGCAATACTGAAATGACGTTTGAGATTTGACATAGTGATGCGACCCGAGTAGGATTTTGTGATTCGAGTTACTCGCGCCAATTAGCACCTCACTCAAGTCATACACGAGTTTTCGAGTGACATAAGTAAAATATTCAAACGTGCTGCTCATGTGAGATTCTCTTAGGAGTTTTAAGTAAATACATATATAGTATAAATAAAATACACATAAAAAGAGTTTGGCCATATTATTTATCTAAGTAATCAAGAAAATAAAAAGAAATCTGCATAGATTAATAAAAAGAGAAGTGAAATAATAAATTGCTTAGATGTCTCTAATCGAACTGATTGCGCCGAGATGATTCCATAACTCGAGTGCATGGAGACTCGAGAGATTTTTTTGACTTGAGTACGAATAAGGTAGTATTTAAAAAAACATTAGTTCCCGAAATAAAACTAGAGGTCACTACGGTACTTCCTTGGTTTCTCCGTGACAATCCTTCAGGTTTTCTTTCATGTATAAAAGTAAATTAATTTTAAAAACACAAAAACTACTCATATTCTATTTGTATTTTTTCGTATTTGTATTGATATCTATGTTTCGAAATTTGAAAAATTTAAGTTTTTTAATATGTTAGTTAAAAGGTACGGAAATAACTATCTTTTGTCCTTTCGTTTCCTGAAAAAATCAACTTTTGCTAGAATCGCCAACTAGTGAGTGATTTTTAGCGAGTGCCTCGAGTAGAATAGGTCTTCTCGCGAGTGCCTCGAGTAGAATAGGACTGGAGTCGCATCATTTATTTGACAGAATCGGGAAGTTGACATCACGGCCCGTCAACTCCATACAATAAACCAATCGCGTAGGGGTCCAGTGATGTATGACATTTCCTCACGCCCCTCACCCCTGTCAGTAGATGGAGACATGACACCTGACAGAAACTGTCATTACAACAAAGAGTAAAGATAGTAATGTTTTAGTCAATCTTTAATTCATTTTACATGTTGGAATTAATTTATTCATTTCACATTGGCAAAATTGTGTGAAATGTGCAGATATGCCATTAATAAAAGAAGAAGAAGACTAAAGTATGTACGTACATATCAGGAAATTACAAGTGATTGAGTAAAGTCTATTTTGTGCTTACCGTCTGCTTTATTTGTAATATAAACTCTCCATTTTTCGAAGTATTTTTATTTGTAGAAGATGCCTAAGAAATTGGTGTGTTATGGTTGTGTTACACGCATTGTTAAAGTACGAACAGGACGCTATTCTTTATAAGATTCTAGTGAACGAGAAAAGATTCTCCGAGTGTTTACAATGTCTTAGTGCTGTGTGTGATACTGAAATTTTTAATCCAGGCAGAAGTATCATTTGTAGCAAACACGTTGTACCAAGATTCATCACTCCAAAATCATGACTCTTGGGTGATGCATATCCGTCATTGTTTATTGATGATGGGCTCTCAATCAGCCTACCCTCTTCAAGCAATACTGGTAAGGCTGGTTTAATCTGCTATTGCCTTTAGATAATGTAATTAAAATGATATGTATCTTCACTTTATGTTGTGTTTTGGAATACCTCTATTCTTCATTAGATTTTTTTTTATTACAGAAATTATATTCACTTGGGAACACAGCTATGCAAGAAAAAGTCATGTTGACCACACATATTAGAAAGTGGAACTGAACAGAGGTTTGTTTTTAATTTATTTTATTTAGATAACAAAGTATGAACTTTGTGTATTTTAGCAGCAGTTTTGGTGTATTTTAATATAGATTTTTGCTTTAAAAAAGTCTAGTAGATCTCTATATCTTACACACATAAAGAAAAATTACATTAAGTTACTTAACTCTAGCGGGCACGCTAGAAGTGATTTTGATCAGAGAATAAATTGATAATATAAATAACATATTTCTAATATCATCTAAGATTATATCCTGTTTTTTAATCTTACACACATAATCAATATTGATTTCATAGGTGGTGTAATTTTAAAAGAACAAATTGAGACTCCTGTGTCTGCAGCCACTGAGTTTACACAATTAGTTGCTTGCTCTGGAGATTAAAATATGACACAAACTAAATTATCTGGTAAGACCTGTCTCTTTCTTTAGTGTATCTTTATTTCAATCAAATAGTAGTTCTAATAGAGAAATTCACTGAATACTTTTGATGTTACAGACCCTGTGAAATGTACCCAAACAAAAAGGAAAAGGCTTATTACCTAATAAAGCCAATTGTCACCTTTATACCAGAGTATTTATGAAGAATATAACAAGCCAAATACATAGTTTAACTTTTATCATAAAGTTAAGAATACTTAAATACCTTTAAGTATTGTAAAAAGTTATCATTTGAAAAGTTCCGACAAAAAATGAACACAGTTGCAAAAATGATTTTGAAATTCAAGTGAGCATGTGCTCTAAAAATAAACATGAGAGGTGATTCACTACCGAAGAAAAGATAATTGCTTTATCAATATCAAAGCAGAGTCCAAAGTGTTATTGATTTTTAAGCAAAATTTTTTATTTTATCATCCAAAACTACACTGAATACTATGATTAGTAAAATTGATCATAGAACCAGGCTTCATGTAAGAGGTAAATATATTCCATATAAGGTTTTTCATACTACTTTTATAATTTTTTGTATTACTACAAAATAATAATATGCTACCTATTTGAATTTACTTTTTCAGGTGGACAAATGAAACTCCAAAAAAATATGCTCCATCATATTTGATGAGATGTCATTAGAAAAAGCGCTTTCGTATAATAAAAGTAATAAGGATTAAAGATAATATTAATGGATTTGTAGAACACCAAGAAAAGAAAGTGGATTTTGCAGATCATAGTCTTGTATTTATGTTGGTGCTATTTACAACTGGCAACAGCCTTTATGTTAGTATTTCTGTCAAGGAGCGACATCTACTGTACATCAAGAATATTTTAAAGTTAGTAGTAGAAAAAGTTGTTGAATTGGACCTTAATCCCATCGCAATAATATATGACCAAGGCTCAGCTTTCCAATCAGCACTCAAAAATCTAAAAGAAGACACTTAGTGTAATCAAATTTTAAGTTGAAATCACAGGTTGGTACAGAGAATTATATTTATATGAAAGAAAACTAATAGATTTAATGAAAGTAGTGAAGGTTCTTATTTTTATATTGTTATCTATGTTTTAAAAAGTTCTTAAATTTTTGTTTCAGTTGGATTCTTAAAATATGTGGGGTGGATTTGAACATTATGATTCACACACACACTTGATAAAATGTATCAGGAACAATTTTTTAACAAAAAATTTAATATTGGATAGTAAACTTGCAAAATGGCATGATATTATTTATGTCTATGAGACAGATTGTCAACACACCGAAGCTGGGCTACGTCATAAATTAAATGACCAATAAGTTATACCTGATAAAATGATGAAGGTAATACATTGGTTATTATATTAGTATAACTTCAATTAGTATAAATAAAAGGAATAATTTGTATTCAGCTTCTATATTCTCTATCAGAGCAAGTGTTGATTCAATGACCTGTATTTTTAATTATGTTACAAGTAGTTAATATAGTTTACACTTAAATCACAATAATGATTCTCTAATGAAGATAATTTTAAACATGATATCTCTTTTTGCAGGTAAAAAATTGTGTAAAAATATGTCTGCAGCTTTGCACTGCAAATTTCTGTGAGTATTAGATGAAATTTACTAACAGTTAATAGTTTTGAATCAAGTTTCATACCATTATTATATGAATATTTTAATTTGCAGCAACTTATGTGGATGGCAGGCCCGTCAGTACAACATTAAGAAATTCTTTGACCAATTATTTGATAGTGTCAATGGAGCATCGATAAACAAAAGAAGCATAAAGGAAAAGAGCATCATTCTTTCTGGCCAAAGGCAACTGAAATTTTAGAAAACCTTAAATATGTATATAAAAAGGTATGCAAATATCAGTGCCCTCTTTAAAAAAAATGTGATTACCTTGAAAAGTTTCATAAGGTTGTGCCACTAAAAAAACGTAGCTAAGAATTGCCGAGAATGCAGAAGAAAGCTGTGAAAAATATAATAAGCTAAAAAATAAATTATTCAATAAATAATATTGGAAAAATGTATGTTTCATTTACGTGTTCGTTTTTCCTTTTTTGTTTTAATACAACAATAATAATTAGCTAGATTTATCAGTCTGCTTTATTGTTATTGTTGTATTAAAACAAAAAAGGAATTTAAATTAAAGTAAAAATAATATGGAAAATAGGAAGACGGCTAGATACCTACCCAAAACAGGGCTGTATAGCTAAATGCCTTTACCCATACTAAATCTATATATTTAAAACGAATGAAGCTGTCATGTATCACTGGCTCCCAATCACGTTCTACGAAGAAATTTTTTGTTAGGAAGTTGGTCGTCTGATACCTACTAAGTCTGTGGTTGACATTGATTGACGTTAACGTTGTTGTTTGTTTTGATTATTTAATTAAATATAAATAGGCTTTGGAAATAAAGTAGTAATAAAGATATAATTATAATATTTTAACTAAAGCAATGTCTAGTAAGCCGAACTCGAAACGAACTATATATGTTGGTGGTCTAGCTGAGGAGGTGGATGAGAAAATTTTAAATGCGGCATTTGTGCCTTTCGGAGACCTTGTTGACGTGCAAATTCCTCTCGATTATGAAACTGAAAAGCACAGAGGCTTCGCGTTTATCGAATTCGAGAACTCCGAAGATGCTGCAGCTGCTATTGACAATATGGTTGGTTTAAATAAATCATAAATAACTTAACCTCAAAACTAAAGTTTTAGTGTTTAATACGTTAGTTATAATAACTTTTAAGCGAATTCAAATATCTAACAGGAATGAAAAGATTCATCATTATACTGATTTTATTAATGTCAAATTCCAGAACGATTCAGAATTATTTGGTAGAACTATAAGAGTAAATATTGCGGCCCCACAACGTATCAAAGAAGGTTCAACACGACCAGTCTGGTCGGATGACGCATGGTTACAGAAACACGCTGGTGAAACCCTTCCCATAAACAAAGAGAATGAGGAAAATAGTTCACAAGAGAATACCCAAACGGAGAAAACTGTAAGTTGCCTTACACAATTATATTTCATTAATTTTTGTTTGAAGAATTATATTCATATTTATTTTATAGAAAAATACTTAAACATGCAATAGAATTAATTTATTTAGACAACACATATCACACACAATATAATATTATAATAGATATAAAAAAAAAACAAACTCCCATGGTGCCCAACCTAACTATGTTTCAAAGCCACCTTCAACTCGGTACTACACAACTTCTAAGCAGAGCCCAGTGCGTTACTATTCTGCTGAAGCCAGCAGTGACTTCACATACCAAACACTAAATACATGCTCAGTATAAACAGATAATAAACAATTTTAATGATTATTGTCTGTAACTGCCTTGACTATAGAATGTGTTCAAATGAATATTAATTACAACCTTCAATTAGTAATGAGACTGAATTTTTATATTTCAGGCTATTCCAGCTAAACCAGCAGAAAAGAGAAATCCACAGGTGTATTTTGATATCAGTGTAGGCAAACAAGAGATTGGTAGGGTAATTATGATGCTGAGAGCTGATGTGGTGCCCAGAACTGCAGAGAACTTTAGAGCCCTGTGTACTCACGAAAAGGGCTTTGGTTATCAGGGTAGCAGTTTCCACAGAATCATTCCTGATTTTGTATCCTTTACAAATATCAGTAATTTGTTTCTTTTATTTATTAAGGTTTTCAATTACTGTTAAATTCATATTTAGAAAGTCTAGAAACTTTATCATCATTTCAAAAGCTATGGATGCTAAGGAGACTTTATATTGAGAAGAACCAGCAATAAACTCAACAAGGGCTGCTATTTCTGTTTCATTTCTCACAGAAAAATGACTTCATAAGACAATGATTTCTTAATACTAATAACTTTAACTTCAATAATTCAATATATTGATAATATGAGCTACAAACATATCATTGTAAAAGAATCTAAGTAAATTATGTTTCAGTCATATCAAACTTGCGCTTTGTAAAACAGTAATGTTTTTGAAACTTTATTGTGTTGTAACCTTTTTCCTTAACTAAGTATTAGATGTGTCAAGGAGGTGATTTCACAAATAATAATGGCACAGGTGGCAAGTCAATATACGGTCGGAAGTTTGACGATGAGAACTTCACTTTGAAACATACCAGCCCTGGGATACTAAGTATGGCCAACTCTGGACCGAACACCAACGGATCACAGTTCTTTTTGTGTACAGCAAAGTGAGTAAACTTATTTATTAAATAATAAATAAAATATTGTTAGTTGATCAATATATTTTTCAACTCTTCTGTCTTTATCAGTTAATTTTGGATAACATCACATACATTACTCACATTTTAATTTAAGTAGCTAAAGCCCTCATATTATGGAGCATCTGTGATAACGAAGGTACCACCCATCTCGGGGCAATATAGAAAACTTAATTTACTACAATTTTTTACTTTTTTGACAAGTGATAGCGAATGTGATGCTTATATAAAGATATTGAATTAATGATATTGCTTATTGTTGATTCAATATCTTTTATATCAATTCATGTAAGCCAAGCGATAAATGCTTGAAAAGTACTGAGAAATGTCAAAAACTAAAGATTTATATAATTGTAATCTTTTAACTGGTTTAAAAATCTTGATCATTTGATTTGTTCCATAAACGTTTGAGATATTAAAAGTTACACAATCCCATAAATCTCTATAATAATTGTTTTACCTTTCAAGGGATTGCGATAGCATTCAAACTTAGACAATTAGTCCATGGGTTTTTTTTTTCCAGAACTGATTGGTTGGACGGCAAGCACGTAGTGTTTGGTCACGTGATCTCTGGTCTGGATGTCCTCAAGAAGATGGAGAGGTACGGCAGTAAAAGTGGCACGGTCTCTGCAAAAGTTACTATAAGCAATTGTGGTGAATTACAATGATAATAGCTAATGGTAGTTTTTTTAGTACACTTTGCTCCTCCTAATTTAGAAGTATAGTATAACCAACATTACAAACAAGTGCATGAAAAATTCGTCGGTACTGTTAGGTCCTGGGTAACACAGTGGTTAGAGCAGACGCCCGGATTGTCAAAGCTTCGAGCCCCATCTCAGTGTGCCAGGGAGATTTTTAAGCAATTTTCGTTGAGAGTATTTTTCAGTATACTATAACAAAATTGAACAAATATAATAATAAAAATAAACGGGGAACCGACAAGTTTATGTACGGTAAAGAAAAAACTGTTACAGCAAAATAAAAATAATATAAAAACAATTCATTATGAGATTTCCGAAAATCAGCCCCCTAATTGTCTAATTTTAAATCTATTGCAATCGCTTTCAGTTTGAAAGGTGTTGCACAACCATTGCTGCATAATACAAATACTTTTTTTCAACTGTCTTCAGAAACAAGCAATGGTTGTGCAACATCTTTCAAACTGAAAGCGATTGCAATAGATTTAAAATTAGACAATTAGGGGGCAGGTCACATAAAAATAAAAGATTACATAACCCTGTTTCTGAGTTTTCCTCGGTAGCCGTTTTAAGTAGATTTATATTATAACAGATATAGATACATTTACATGTTTGTTAAATAAATAATTGTGATAAAAATTATTAAATAAACTAATTCAAATTTTTGTTGGTAGAATTTTTCACGAACTGACATACAAATGAGCATATCATGTTTCTAAAAATATTTTAAGAGAAACAAATGATCTTAAAGATCAGAGACAAAAAGTTTGGATGAGGGAACCTAGGACAAAATAAACTGTGTGGTACGACGCATCGTTACAGACTGATTATTATATTAGGTCTTTATCTATGAAATTGCTGTTTTTTATGAAATAAATGAAGCGTATTTTTTTCTATATTTCTAATTTCTTTTAATCCAAGTAATCATTCATGCAATCGATGCATCTTTGCCAACGCATTGGCAGCTTATTGATGCCCTTCTTGAAGAAATCAGCTGGAGGCAACACATTCTTCAAAGGCATTTTGTACTGCCTCTCGGTTATTTAATTTTTTTCCCACCAAGAAGTTATCCAAAAAGTTATATCTGAAAAAGTAGAAGCCTGTAGGCGCAAGGACTGGTGAGTACGGTGGATAACAGAGAACTTCCAACCCCAGCTCTTGTAGCTTGGAGACCGTCTGCTGTTTAGTATGAAGTCGCGCGTTGTCGTGCAGGAGCAGTGGAACCGAACGATTGACCAAAACTGGTCGGAGACGTGCGAGTTTCTCCATCATTGTGTTCAGTTCTTCTTAGTACACATCTGCAGTAAAGCTCGTCCCGTTTGGTAAGAAGCTGTGATCAATTACACCCGCGTTAGACCACCAAACAGTGACCATTACTTTTGTAAGGGAAAGTTTTCGTTTAGGGCATTGTCGTACAAGACTCATTTCTCGTCACAAGTAACAATGCGAATTCGTTCATTTATATACCTGTTGAGAATTGAAAGCCACATCTTGACGCGTACTTCGCGCTGGCGATCATTGAGTTTACCTTGATCAGCTATTAATTTGATGCAAATGGACCAATATTGTTTTGATTCTAATATCGAAAGCTGCTGCTAATTCAGCCGTAGATTGAGTTTTATCGGGTTCATCATTGTCGAGCAAAGTTTTGGGAGGACCATGGGGTTCATTTTTCAGGTAAAAATTTCCAGATCGGAAACGGGCAAACCAACAGGTGGTGCGTTCGTTTGTAGTGTACGTTGTGTAAACGTCGTAGATGTTGCGTGCCGCTTGTGCCGCTTTATTGCCACGACGATACTCATACTCCATTATTACTTGAATTTTTAACTTATTCATGACGACGAAAAATGTTCGAATGCGTGAAAATGAAAAACAAAACACTAACTATTAAACAAATGACAATTTAAGAAATAACAAATCCATGTTTTTAAAATAAAATTAATTTGAAATTAGAATTTATTACTTGAATTTTTAACTTATTCATGACGACGAAAAATGTTCGAATGCGTGAAAATGAAAAACAAACACTAACTATTAAACAAATGACAATTTAAGAAATAACAAATCCATGTTTTTAAAATAAAATTAATTTGAAATTAGAATTAAAAAATATTTTGATTTTAAATGGCCAGTACGGCAGAACGGTAAAGACCTATTTTACCTCGTCCCGCGAGCAAAATGAATCTGAATAGGTGAATCCCCGTAGTGTCGCACGGCCTAGGCTAAATACAATTGCCATAAATATAAGTAGGTACACACAGTGTCGAAAAATTCCAGAACATAGAAAAGTAAAAACTTTGTTAACATACCTTTACAAAAATATATATTCTTAATGTCATCTTAAATTAAAAAAAAAAAATGCCTAGAACACCTTCAAAATACCTATCTTGTTAATTAGAATTTGTACCAACACAGTAAATTTTGTGAGCTATGCTGTTTTGACTTTAATACTCTTTACCGTTCCACGTTTTATTTGGATAACGAATCGTTAAAATTTCGCTTTTAATTAAAGCGTGGGGTACACCCCACCCTATACAATAGTTTGAGAACAATATTCGCTTATCTGCGCAATTGCTAAATCGGGAGGGCGGTATCTAATGAAATATTGGGAGGCATGCGTTAATATTGTTCTAGTCTAGTTTTAAGGTTGCCATATCTGAGGTCCTGGGTTCGATTCCCAGTCGCGTCAATGTAGAAAATGAACTTTTTTATATTGTCCCGGGTCTGGGTGTTATAGTACCTTCGTTGTCTCAGATACTCAATAGATAGATAACTCTTTATTGTTGACATTACACTATTTACAGAAACAAACATAAATTAAACTTCATTAAAATGTAAACAATAATACGGGGGCTTTGGCTACTCATCTTGGAATTTGAGTAATGCATGTGATGTTGTCTAATATTAATTCATTCATATATAGAGGACCTTGAAGGCGCAGTGGTTAGCGCGCTTGGTGATACGGTTGTTAGGCAACTTTCACAAGGGTCAGTAATAGGATGGGTGACTAAAAATGTATTATTTCGAGCTGAAGTCCTGATCTGCTGCAGTCGGGACATAGGTTGGTGATGATAAAAATGTATTTATAAAAAAATATAAACTCGTTCAGTATATTATTGTAGGTAATTTATTGCTGTTATTCACAGCTGCATGTTACCATAATATCCAATAATATTCGTAAGTTGCACAAACGTCCATTAAGATTTAATGACGACTATAAGCTCTAATGAATGTTCTAAATCTGTAAATGTGTAAAGCTAATGTGGCATTAAACTAATGACAATTTTAATTAATGTTTATGCACCTGGCCATATGTTAAATTTCCTCAATTGATTTTCAACTCTACCAACAATGCACTAAAGATTATAATGAAGCGGAGAAATATGACAGTTTTGTGTAGCGTGACGTGCTGTTGACTGAATAATTGTACATAGTATTCTATGTAAAGGGCCGTCCATAAATTACGTCACACAAAATTCAGGATTTTTAACCCCCCCCCCCCTCCTGTTATCTATTTATCTATACAAATTTTACTAAATATTGTACTAATGTCACAGTTCGTCGACCTTCCCACCCTCCTAAAGTGTGACGTAATTTATGGATGACCCCTAAAATTACCTTTCTGTAAAAAATAAAAAATTAATAAAAACACAAAATCAAAAAAAAAATAATTAACGCCGTTACTACACTGACGCAATAGCATGCGAAAGCGAAACAACAAAAAAATCTTGTCAGTTGTATCGCAATTTTCCGCATATGCTTTGTCTCGCTCTATTATTAGCTCGACGAAGTAACGGCGTCCTTGTCAGTACTGTTTCGCAGACAACTACGAAAAACATTTTTACACAGACGCAGAATTTCCAATTCGCAATAGATTCGCAGTCGCAGTCAACGATATCGATTCCGATGAGCAATTTTTTTAAACGATCTTAATTTAGATAAAAAACTGATGTAAATTAAACAAATAAGAGTGTGGAACAAATAAAAGTCAAGTTGCCTTTTTTTTTAGATAAAACTAGGGCTTTTCCACGAATTTATCTAGCATTGTGTTTCGAGGACCGTTTTTATTTGATCTGAGTTTCGAACACAGGTAGGTAGTAGTTAGTGTTGCCAGGTGTCCCGATTTACGCGGGACGTCCCGATTTTCAGGGGTCCGGGGATGCGTCCCGATTTGTACCTAATCGGGACGCTAAATGTCCCGAAAAATGAAGCATTTTTATTAAAAAAAAAAAATATCCATTTTTGAAACCCCCTAACTATATGTATTTATCTATGTCTGAAAGCATAAAAGCTACCAATCTAGTACCTATTAGTATGTAATGGGGAAGATTAAGATATCAGTTATTTATTAAGGTTTTGTTTTAATTACGGATTAATGTTGAATCTAAGCTATATAATTACGGTTGGATTTTTATTTGTTATTTTATTACATGATTAAAAAAAGAGTGTATTGTATTTAGGGTTAATATTTGTATGTACAGTTTCTTTATTCCCCTATAACTATGGATATTAATGTAGGTATAGGGTGTTCAACATTACATCATCTCGAGTGACACTGGCTATGCATTTGTTTTATATTTAATATGGCTGACATATGACAATAAAAAAAAAATACTAAAAACATTGTTTTAGTAATTTAGATTGACTATAGCAATAAGGTTATCAAAATAGTTTTTAAAAGAAATGAAATATTTTTTTTTTATAAATCACTAATTTACAAAAACGCGATTACCAAAAACGAGTTAAAAAAGAATAAGTTGTAATATATTTCGGTTAAACTTCTCATTGCAGTCAGGGAAAATTTGGATTATAAATGTTTCATAGAACGAATTCAAACAACGAACAATCTTCATTGGTGAACATTTAAACTAAATACAGCGCTCGCGCAACTTATTTTCTAACGCATCGGGCACTGAAAATTCATAGAGTCGTCTCCATTTTTTAATTTAATTTTCAAAAGTATTACTCTT